AATATTAAATGTTTAATAACATACAAGTTAAAGAGGAAATTGTAACAAAAAACTGAATATATTTTGGTCTGAATCTGGAAGACAACATGGCCTGTCTTGTAGATGTAAGTCAACTTTTTTTAGTGCTTGTTCAAGGGGTTCATGTAAAACATGCCCATACGTGCAGGAACACAATTTCTGAATGGTTTCAATAATAGGACTTATCTGGATATGTGGTTATTAATTTATGTTAAATGGCCAACCTTTCTCTTTTTTAAAATTTTTATTTATTTACACAGAGTTAGAAGTTACACAGAGAGAGAAGGAGAGGCAGAGAGAGAGGTCTTCCATCCACTGGTTCACTCTCCAATTGGCCGTGGCCAGAGCTGTACCTATCTGAAGCCAGGGGCCATGATCTGGGTGTCCCATGTGGGTACAGGGACCCAAGGACTTGGGCCATACTCTACTGCCTTCCCAGACCATAACTGAGAGCTGGATCAGAAGTGGAACAGCTGGGACTTGAACCGGCACCCATATGAGATGCCAGCACTTGCAGGTGGTGACTTTACCCACTATGCCACCATACTGGCCAAAGCCCCCAACCTTTCAATAGCAAAACTCAAACTAATTCCCTGATATGAAATTATTTCTCAGGATAAGCAGTCACCTGGTGGCAGGCTGATTAAATTGTACATCTAATATCAGGGGAGAACAATCATTTATCTTCACAGATTAGATACACATTCTGGATATGGATTTTTCTTTCTACCCACAGGACTTCAGCCAGTATCACTATTCATGGCCTTGTGTGTGTGTGTGTGTGTGTGTGTGTGTGTGGTTTTTATTTTTTTATTTTTCCTCCATAAACCTTTTCTTTAAGGAATTCAAACCTCATGCACTTCATAAATACAACTATAAGAACATAGTGATTCTTCTGACCATACTCACCCTCCCACTCACACAAGACCCTTCTTCCTCATCCTCCCATTCTCAGTTTTATTTTTTTACTAATATCTAATTTAATTAACTTTATACACATACAATTAACTCTATATCAAGTAAGAATTCAACAAATAGTATGAAAAAAATTGTTCTTCAAGAGCCATGACAAGGGCTGTTCAAAGTCATTGTGTCTCAAAGTGTCATTTTCACTTCTATAGATTACCTTTTAGGCACTCTATTAGTCATCACAGATCAGGGAGAACATATGGTGTTTGTCCTATTAGGACTAGCTTATTTCACTAAGTATGATGTTTTCCAGTTTCATCCATTTTGTTGCAAATGACAGAATTTCTTTTTTTCCTGCTATGTACTATTCCATGGTATACCTATCCCATAATATCTTTATCCAGTCTTCAGTTGACGGGCATTTGGATTGATTCCATATCTTAGGTATTTGTGAATTGAGCCGCAATATACATGGGGTATGGATATTTTCATTCATTTCCAGAAATTTATTGATTTTTCTTTTGATTTCTTCAATTACCCACTGTTCATTTAGGAGCATGTTGTTCAGTCTCCATGTGTTTGCATATGTTCTAGAGATTCTTGAGTTTTTGGTTCCCACCAAAAACTTGTGGTCAGTGAAGATGCATGATTTTGATTTTTTTCAATTTGTTAAGACTTCCTTTATGGCCTAGCATGTGGTCTATCCTAAAGAAAGTTCCATGAACTGATGAGAAGAATGCGTATTCTGCAACTGTAGGATGAAAAGTTCTGTAGATATCCGTTAGGACCATTTGGTCTATAGTGTCAATTAACTCTTGTTTCCTTGCTGATTTTCTGTCTGGTTTCTCTGTCCATTGCCGAAAGTGGGGTATTGAAGTCCCCCATTACTACTGTATTGGAGTCTATGCCTTCCTTTAGATCCATTAACATTTCTGTTAAATAGCCAGGTTTCCTGTAATTAGGTGCATATACATTTATTATAGCTATATGTTCCTATTGGATTGATCCCTTAAACATTACATAGTGCCCTTCTTTGTCTCTTTTAACAGTTTTTGTGTTAAAGACTATTTTGTTTGATATTAGGATGGTGACACCAGCTCTTTTTTTTGTTTCTGTTATCATGAAATATCTTTTTCCATCCTTTCACTTTCAATCTGTGTATATCTTTGTTGGTGGGATGTGTTTCTTGTAGGCAGCAAGTAGATGGCTTTGTGTTTTAATCCATTCAGTCAGTCCTTACCTTTTAAATGGAGAGTTGAGGCCATTTACATTCAAGGTGACCACTGATAAGCAACAAATTGGCCTTGCAATTTTTCCACAAATATTCCTATTGTTTACCATTGGATTGCCTTTGTACTTTTCTGGAAGATTTTCTGCCTTTGCCTTCTTTCATAGTGATGACCGTGTTTCTGTGTGTAGCATATCTTTAAGCAACTTTTGTAAGGCTGCTTCTTCTTCTTCTTCTTCTGGTGACAAATTCTTTCAATTTCTATTTGTTATGGAAGGTCTTTATTTCACCTTCATTCATAAATGAGAGCTTTGCAGGGTACAGTTCTGGGTAGACAGCTTTTTCTTTTAGGATTTGGAATATACCTTGCCATTCTCTCTTAGCCTGTAGGGTTTCTGATGAGAAGTCAGCTGTGAGTCTAATTGGAGATCTGAAAATAATCTGGTGTTTCTGTTGTGCACATTTTAGAATCTTTTCTTTATGTTTTACTGTAGAGAGTTTGACTACAACGTGTCATGGTGAAGCTCTTTTCTAATCGTGTCTATTCAGAGTTCTATGTGTTTCCTGTACTTGGACATCCCTTTCTTTCTCCAAATTAGGGAAGCTTTCTGTAATTACTCCCCTAAAAAGGCCTTCTAATACATTCTTTCTTTCCATGCCTTCAGGAACTCCTAAGACCCATATGTTGGGTCATTTGGTAGTATCTCAATAATTTCCAACACTGCTTTTTAGTTTTCTAATTATTTCTTCTTCTTCCTCCTCCTCCTTCGTTTCCTTCTCCCTCACCTCTTCCTCTTTCTCCTCCTCCTCCTCCTTCTTTTTTTTTTTTTTTTTGGTCTCACTAAAATTTCCAGTGATTTGTCTTCTAATCTAGATAGTCTTTTTCTGCTTCACTGAGTCTATTGTTAAGGCTTTCCACATTTTCCAAATAAGACATTTCTTATTTGATCTATTAATTCTTCATTTCCAGTATTCCATTTTGATTTATCGTAAAAATCTTAATTTCATGGTAAAAATGTGTATGTCATGTATGGATTTCTTTAATTCATGAAATTACTTCTCATTACTTCTGAGTAATGCTGTGATAATTTTTTTAAATTCCAGTATTGTCATTTCTTCAATGTTTTCTTCTTCCCATTCTAGTACTGAAGTGTTGTGTTCTTTTGGGGGCATATTGTTGTCTTCCTTATTCTTGTTCTTGAATTGCTACATTTATTTTTAGGCATTTGTTGAGATGCTTTTTTTTTTTCTCCTTATGATGGCTTTTATCTTGGACTATTTCTCTGTGGCTTAGTGGAGGGTCAGCTGTTTCAGTGAATACCCAGATGCATTTGCTGGGTGTGGCAGCGAGCTCTGTTCAGTGTTCCAGGATGAAGGGAGTGTCCAAGGTGACACCCACATTGGGTGTGGTAAATCTTTTTTTTTTTTTTAATAAGAGGGGAGGTTTGATCAGTTCTGTTGGCATAATCTCATGTTCACCTCCTCCCTTCCAAGGAGACCAAGGCCTGGGTGCTAACCCCAGTGGGTACAGTATTCATCTGCACTGCCATAGAACCACACAAAGGATCCTTGCAGTCTTACATATGAGCACCTATCTTGCAGCAATGACCCTCACTAGGGAATCAGGGAGGTAATGTGTGAGAGAGCAAAACATTGAAACAGCCCACAGTGACTGCCCAAAGACCCAGCCACACCTGTGCCCTCCCACACAACCACAGTGCTTTCACAGTCCCAGCACACAAGGCTCCAACAGTCACAAGCACTCAGGCACCTGTCAATTCTCTCAGCCAGACTCAGGTGTCTCCTCTCTGCTGGCTGCTGGGCACACAGACACAAGCTGCATCTGTTCCATATGTCCAAAATTGTGCCTGTCCTCTCTCAGCTAGTTACAGGACTCTGGTGCTGGGTGGCCAGGAAGAGAAAAACATGTCCCTTTGTTTTTCCTCTATGTTGGCAGGTACACTGTTCCCCACTGGGCTCCAAGCTTGACTCATGCCAGGGTTTTCCCACAGCTTTATCACCAGTGTCTTGGGCTGTTGCAATCTGGTCTCACTTAACTTTCCAAAGCTGGTGCTAAGGCTCTCTGCTGCTAGGGTCTTGAGTTGTGCATGTCCACAATGTTCCTCTAATTTGTGTGGCATTTCCTCTGCAGTTTCCTCCCTAACTCTTCCCTGAGATTGCACTCTCTCCATTTTTGTTTCTAACTATCTTCCCCTAGACTAGAGAAGTAAGCTCTCACCCTATTCCACCATCTTGGAATCTATTCATGGACTTTCAGAAGGCTGTTCCACTGTCTTGCTCTCTCACACATTACCTCCTTTTATAACAAAGGAAGTATGACAATTGCCTAATACTTTTGGAATTTAGTGGATTTATCACGGATCCCATCACCCAGACACAGCTGACACTACTGAATGTGGTAATGGTGACTAAGGTTTCAGTTATCACACCAGCTGTGAGACACCTTTGAAGGTAAGGAAGCTGTCCTACAAAATGTAGTATATTTCCTAAACCAATATCTAATATACAGTAACATCTATCTATGGCTAGAATTCAGAGATCCAGGAATCAAGGAAATACCCTTCTCACTATTACATCAAATAATTTACCTAAGGATTTTTTTTTCTTCCTTCAAACTTGGATTTGGGGGCTATAATACCCGAAGGAGGAATTCTTTGACCAGGGTATTCACAGTCTATTCAATTGGAGACTGAGACCGGTAAAGAAAGGCACCACTATCCAGCAGATTTAAATACCAAAGGAAAATTCAGTTGTTCTTAACAACTAGGCAAAGGAGATCTTTCAGGAACCCAGGAATTTACTTGCAAATCCATGTAGTACTTACAAGTCCAGTAGTCCTGGTCATTGGAGAACTGTAGTAATTTAATAAAGAGAGGAAATGCAGGCAACAAATCCTGTAGGATCAAACATTTGGGTCAATCAGTTAAAATGTCAGCAGAAAAAGTGGAACACACAAGGGGTAGTGCAATAAAGAAGCCATGGTTATAAATTTAAATTTCATGATCAACCATAATGTGGGGTTACATTTTATGTGAATTATTTGTTTATCCCCAACCTGCACTTCAGTAGTAACAGTAACGATTAAGATTTTGTGTTTCCAGTGGGAGTATATGTCCAAACTGAATTACCCTATTTTGATATGACAGTTCAAAAAAGTTTTTGTATGTCCCTACTGATATGTTCAACTTTTATATGAAAAAGGGACAAGGAAAAGATACTGAAAAGGCAGAAGAGGTAGCCTTTACTGGATATTTTTCTATTTGCACCTCTTAATAAAACAACTTGCTCTGTTGATGTACATTGACCATATCGTGGGCTTCCTTGTCCTCCGGTTTCTGGTTGGGTTCAGCCAATAGGACACACTCACTGTCTCATTTTTTTTAAGGTGACGGGTGTCACACAATGGTCCCCCTTTTGTGGTGCTAGTAACTGTTCCCTTACTTTGCCCTTTAGTCCTGTGATTAATAATGGTTCCTGCTATTTCAAGTCCTGGGATACTACATCATGCCTTATTAGTTTTCCTGAATCTCACCCACACTTCAGAATAGACTTTTTTAAATAAACTCTCCTCAGTTATCCTGTTACAGTGATATTTCTGATGATAATATTAGTAATATTGACTAGTAAGGATATTGCATTGATGTTATGATTATTATAATGATTATTATACTAATATGCTGGTAGTCTCTAATCCTGTAACTTATGTTATTGTTATTCCCTTTTTTTTTCCCATTTTTACTTCACTTCAAGAGACAGTATACTTTGTTAAGAGAAAGGGCTCAAGGGTTTAAAGTCTGGCTCTGGCTCTGCCTCTTTCTAGCAGTCTGACTTTGGGTAAGTTACCTAGTTTTCCTAATCACCTCGGGTTGATGATGAAATGAGTGAAGATATAGTAGTGATTAAGAGTTAACATGTTAAAAGCACTTAGAACATTATTAGCCATAGGAAGCACTCAGTGTTTTATTCTCTTATTCAGAATATTTATCAACCTGATAATGATGCACTTATTTATTTATTATCTATCTCAAATGGAAGCTCCCTAAAGGCAGAGACTTGATTTTTTCAGTGCTGAATTCCCAGTGTCTAGAACAGCACAAAAGAACTTTCTGTGATGATGAAAATGTTGTGTATCCACACAATCTAATACAGCTGCTTCTAGCCACATGTATGTATTGGGCATTTTAAACGTAACTAGGACTGGTGTAAGGCTGACTTTTTATTTAATTTTAATCAATTTCAACTTAAATTTAAATAGCTACATGTGGCTAAGGATTACCAGATTGGACAGCACATTTTCCATAGGCACTTAATGGATTTCTGTTAAACAAATAAATAACCATTAACCATTTATTGAATGCTAAACATTTTATTAGGCATGTACTAATCTCTTTACATACATTATTTCATGTAAATCTCTCAATCAAAAGGAGTGAAGTATTACTATTATTATTCTTATTATATAAATGAGAACACTGAGCTACAAAGAAGCTAATTAGTTTGTTGTAGTTAGTAAACAGATGGGAACCCTGCACTGGGCCATTGTCAGTGGCCTGAATTGGACTCAAGATTGCCCAATCCTTGGATTCCAGGGTTATTAGGATTGCTGGTTATCCTTCCAGGAACTGGGAATACTTTCCCAAGCTCTCCTTCTGTGCAAGATCCAACTGTTACACTACCCAGTCTTACATAGACTTTCTGACACTCCTAGTGACAAATTCTTTGAGTACAGGAGCCACATCATTCTTATCTCATTCTCATCTGTAGTGTTGGCACCATGTCAGAATAATCCTTATTAAAGCTGGTTGAAAAACAGAGGATAAATGAACACTCAGGTGGATGGACGTGATGCTGTAAAGGAACCTGTATTCTAACATCAAGTATACTAACAGCCAAGAAGAAAGCAGATGAGCAAGGACTGGATTGAATGGTTACCTCATGACCAATTAACGAGTTGAGATCCTCACTAGTCAATATTACTAATATTATCATCAGAAATATCACTGTAACAGGGTAACTGAGGAGAGTTTATTTAAAAAAGTCTATTCTGAAGTGTGGGTGAGATTCAGGAAAACTAATAAGGCATGATGTAGTATCCCAGGACTTGAAATAGCAGGAACCATTATTAATCACAGGACTAGAACAGATGTAGGCAAAGCAGATAATAAACATTTTGGGTTTTCCGGGTCATAAGGTCCCTGTCACAGCTATCCAATTCTGTAGATGATAACCATGTTCCAATAAAACTTTATGCTCCTCAAAGTGAAATTTCACAGTCTGACATCTTGAAATATTATACTTCTTTTAGTTTTTTAGCCATCTAAGATTGTAAAAATCGTGCTTACCTTGTGGGCATCCTGTAACTACTGGCCCCGGGCCAAGACAAACCGACCAGAATCAGAAGCAGAGAAATGCAGTGGCGGAAATGAGAAAGCCTTGGAGGAAAACCTTGGGAAGAGGGGCAAGGCCTGGGAAGAATGCCACCGGCTTTTTGTGTTTTTTTTTTGGACCTCTACATTTTTTCCCTCCCCTGAGTCCTTCCATATTTCCTGCACTGCTGTTCAGGGATTGTTCTCGACCAGCGAGCACGTTTGCTCACAGTTCGTGTTCCTTTTCCCGGGACCATTTTGTTCAAGTAGAAAGTATTGGGGAAGACTGAAACAGTCGAGACCCAAAGTAATCGCTTTCTAATACAGCGCTTCCAGGCACTAAGAGAGACCGTTTCGTTCACGTGAATATATCTCCACGAGCCCACTTGAAATATAACGTCGGCTTCCGTCCCCCTCACAAAAGGACCACGACCCGTGTTTGCAGGACTTGGGGCGACCCTTGCTTTTCCCTCGCTGCCCATCAGTTGGCGCCTTTTGCTGTCCTTTTTTTTCCCAAGCCAGCTTCGGGGGCTGCGGTTGCTCCGCAGCTCCTGAGTCACGTGACCTGTCGGAGCGCTGGGTGCCCTGCGCCGGCGATGCGCCGCGAGAGGAGGTGAGGCTTCTTCGCCCACCTAAATCTCGCCGCGCCGGCTCCTCGCCTACCTCAGGATCCGGCAATGGCGCCTCCGCCGAGATGAACCAGCCTGGGCGACGGCAGAGGCGGCCCTCGGCGTGCGTCAGTTACGAAGCTGACTGCCTCCAGCAGGTAGGTCCTCAGTGCGCGCTAACTGCCCAACCCTTTTGGCACGGTGGTCGGAGCGCCCACGATGAAGAGACACAGGAGTAAGGGGCCGGGGTCGGGGTGTCCGCGGCTTGGCACGGGGAGGGCCGCTGTAGGGGGTGGCGCAGCCCAGGAGGCCTGCGCCCCCGCCGCGCGCTCCGGGCCAGCGGGCTTCGCTGGGCCGTACCCGCACTGCCGGCCGCTTCCTGCCCCGGCACTGCGGGATCCGCCGAAGGGCGTCCCCCTCGCGGCCGGGGCTGGCGACAGCGCAGAGATAAACTAGCGTCGCGGCGAGGGCGCCTCGCGGTCCCTCGCCCTGCAGGCTGAGCTGTGAGGCCGACAGAAAGAGGCGACCCAGAAGCGGGGAGCCCGGGTGAGACCCCCGCGGAGCTGGGCACGGCGCAAGCGCCCGAGGGCCCACCGCCTAATGGCCGCCCGGGAGCGGCGGACCCTCGCCGCGAGTCTGCGCCTCAGGTCCGCAGGTCGTGCCCAGCGCGCCGCTGCCGCGTTGGAAGCCCGGGAACCGGGGAAGGCGACCCTGCAGAGGAATCCCTCTCAGCTCCCAGAAAGATCAGCTGAAGAGAACCAGCGCGGCGATGGAGACTGCCGGCCTCGGTGTTCGGGTGGGGAAACTGAGGCCTGAGCGCGATGGGCACTGCCCAAGGTCAGCGGCAGACACTAGATTCACTCCTCTTGGTTTTCCAAGAGTGACTGTTAGGGTCCCCTGGGTGTGTCTCGCCCCCTTTCTGGACCCTGGGCTCGTGTCGCGCGTGCCGCACTGCGTGTCTTGGGGCGTGAGATTTGCAGGGTCGCTCTGACCCATACATCTCCAGCTCTGCCCGTGCTCCCCAGAGGATCACAGGGCGGCGCCAAAGATGATCTCACCATGCGGACCCTCAGCAAAACCTGCAGATGTGTGTGTGTGCGCGCGCGTGTATTTCCCCCAGGAGACCTAAACCTTGTAAAGGGAAATCGGGTTTCTCTCTTTTTTTTGAGGGGGGGGGGGAGAAAAATGCATTTTGAGAGTGCATAATGAGGTGAGAAGGGAAAGCTGTGTGCTCAACACCTGACATCATTACAATTATCAGAATGTTTTTATTTTTTAAAGGTAAGCTTATTACAAAACATTCAGGAAACAGAAAAAGTAAATGAAAATGAAGATGACTTAAAACTTCATCTTCTAGATAGAGATTTTCTGGATATCCTCAAATTTTTCTCTACTTACACAGATATGAAGTTTTAAATCAACACAAAGGTTTAATTTTTTAATTAAAGATTTAATTTGCATGTCTTTCATTACCTGTAGGAATCAACACCTTTTCCCTCTGAGTATTAGCCTTTTATTTTTGTGTGGATGAGTTGACTGTTAATTCTTTTGCCCATTTTTCAATTTGAGTATCTTTCTGTTCCTGATCTTTAAGCATTTTTAGGTACTGCATATTCAAGTGTAATTATCAGCCAATTATGTTAAACCAAAACAAGGATTTCCTGACAATATTTACTCATTTCAATTTCAGATAACCTTTATATAATACTTTGGTCAATTTTTATTGTGGTGGTAGTTACAGGGGTGTATAAATTTGACAGAAACCACTGTGATGTATAATTAAATGGTGCATTTTATTGTTTGTAAAGTATATTTCAATGAAGTTGATTATTTTAAAAGCCAGGAAAATTATGGTGCTGTGTAATGGAGTCTGGCACAATGCTGCCATATGTGGTAGAGGGTTACTAAGTGGTAGCTATAAATAGAAACAGTCCAAAACAGTGACAAATGAATGCCTTAGGGGAAAAGCGCCTATTGCTGGCCCTGGTACTTGAAGAATAAAAAAAGAGATTGTTTCTGATTGAGGGAAGTCAGGTTGGCTTTTGGGAGAGGGTGGTTTTTGGACTGATTCTTGATAGTTAAGTTAGCATGTGTGAGGAGAAGATATAGAGCTGGAAAGATAGTTGGAACTGTATTTTGAAGAATCTTGGCAAAGAATTTGTACCTTGATCTACAGTCATTGGGAAATCACTGAACAGTTTTGCAGAAAAGAGTGCTATGTTTGCTGCTTCAGAGTGTCAGGCAGGTGCTGATAATGTAATAAATTACCATCATTTGCACAGTGTCTTATGTGAGACAAAGGACTTTCATGGCCATTGTCCCTTTTAATCTTCATAATGCTGCCATAAATGAGATTTCCTTTTGGTTTTCCTATTTTGCAGAGAGACAAAATGGCTGAGAGAGAGAAATTATTTCTTTATATAAATTGACCTACTTAGGGAGTATTAGAATTGTACCCAGATCTTTTGGCTTCAGATATGTTGCTCATTCTGGGGATTAGGAGCCCAATTAAGAGCCTGTTGCAATCCCCTGGCCTGGGGATGAGGGGCTGTTGGAGTGTGACAGTGAAGAGGGCATGACAATGAATAGGGGAGGAGAGGAAAGATAGATAGAAAAGAAACCATGGGAGGGGAATGGGGAAGTGATTAGCTGGAGGTGAGAAGTCAGAACTTACCAGTCTTTGGGACCCAGATGCCTGGACCCAGATGTCATTCATGTAGTGGGCTGACTTGGGAAACAGGGTCCATTATCACATGCTTATCTCCTGATAAGACTCAGCCCAGTATTCTGCAACGTATATCCCTATGGCTCTTAGTTTTAATTTTCAGAAGCTACACTAAAATGCAACTCTTGTTGTTCCATTTATCCATCCAAGCCCTAGTTCATGTTCATCTCTTAGTATCTTTGTCCTTTACTGTCTTGCCTGAGTCCTTTACCCTAGAAGTGATAACAGGCTGAATACAATTGATGGAATAGTTTCAAAGAGTTTGCAAGGCATAGATAACAACTGAGTAAATATTAATCCATAAAACTGGGCTGCAGTGGTCTGGTTGTTACCTGGCCAAATACCAATCAGTTCACAATATTGCTGGAGTATAACTAGAGCAATAATGTAGACATTGTCCTACTTCTGTCCCATCCCTGTGATTGGGCTCCTTCCACAAAACTACTGGTGAAAAATCCTAGGGACTTTAGCTTTGTTGCTCCAAGGCCAATAATCTTAAAGCCATATCAGTCAAATGAAATAAATCATAGATTGTGTTGAACACCATAATGGCAGGATGGAAGATATAATGCCTCAGAACTGAGCAGAAATCCTGATGAAAAATGAAGGAAGTTCCATATATGGAAAAAGTTGTTTATTATGACAATTTACATGGGAGATTTCAGGCAGCAGGCAGTCTTGCCTTGGAATGTGTGTTACAATGTTCCTTTACTATTCTTTTGGAATAGGCATCTTGTTGAGCTTTTTGGCTATCAGCAAGGCTTGTGATTAACACTTAAACTTTACTGCTGGAGAGGGGTACCAGTTAGGCTGACAGGCAGTCTGTGGTCAGTGTCTTTCTGAGCAAGAGATTCAACATGGAATTACAGTGACTTGCTTTCTCACAGGCAGTTGGTATAAATGTTTAATGAAATGATTTTTATAATTTTTTGAAATGTATAGGAATGAAAAGGTCATTTTGGGATATGATTATCATTTTAGCCCTTGTTTATACTCCTGTGGAAACGTGGTCTTCCTACTTTTTACTTGTTGAATATTATGATTAGTGGTGAATTAAGCCTGTGAATATAGAGGGGATTAAAATTATGGTTTTGCATAAACTGATGGGGGGTGGGATTTGGAGAAAGCCGAGGAGTGAGGTAAATGTAGTTGTCTTCTTGGAGCTATACCTGTGGAATGCATAAAATCTGTTCTTTTTTATATTAAAAAAATTTAAATATTCTTGAGAGGCAAAGACATAGCTCCCAACTACTGGTTCACTCCCCAAATGCTCTCAAAGCCAAGAATTATAAACTCAATCCAGGTAGCCCAGACCCAACTATCTGAGCCATGACTGCTGCCTCCTAAGGTCTGCATTAGCAGGAAACTGGATTCAGGATCCACAGCTGGGTATCAAAGCCCATCATTCTGTCGTGAGATGCAGATGTCTCAACCCTGCATCAAATGTCCATCCCTAAGAAAATATTTTAAAAAGCAAACAAGAACATACTCTCAGCTTGTTCGTTAGTTTACACCTTTCTGCCAACAGGTGCGGCTGAGGAAGCATTGTTACAGGCTGTCTTCCCACTGCCATCACATCTAAGTCAGAGCCTCCTAAAGAGCTGTAACTGCTGCAAAAGCTCTTCAGGGGCTTGAGCTTTGAAACAATCCATGAGGAGCCGTTTTGAGGAGAGAAGAACATTTATGGACCATATAGTAATGAGAAACCTAAACACCAAGCACTCTAGGGGTTTTGGATGTGGCCTGTATCCCACTGTGGAGGAGGTGGGTACAGCTGTGGCCACAAGGCCACATGAGGTAGATGGAAGAGTTGTGGAACCAGGGAGGGCTGTCACATGATCAGGTGCCCACTTTCCTGTGAAAAAGACCTTTCTTGTTGCCATTAAAGATACTTAAGGACATCACCACAGGGATAAATTTGAACAGTGTAGGAAAAATTGAAGTGCTTAAAATTGTGACTGACTAGGCAGTGGCAGGAAGAAGGGCCTTGTTTTGTGACATTTGATGCCCTTACTCCATGGATAATGTTGTGGCCTGTGAATAGCCACTACAGTGAAAGAAAGTTCTGTTAAAGAATCTGGCCAAAGGGGTTGACCTAGTTCTGGAAACTGGTTCTGGAAACGTGGAGGTGGCTTTAATAACAGTGATGACTTTGGTCATGAAGGAAACTTCAGTGGTCATTGTGGCTTTGGTGGTAGCTGGGGTAGTGGATGTGGTGGCAGTGGAGATGTATACAATGGATTTGGTAAGGATGGAAGCAATTCATTAGGTGGTAGAATCTACAATGATTTTGGCAATTGCCATAACCAATCTTTAAATTTTGGTTGCATGAAGAGAGGAAACCTTAGAGGCAGAAGTTCTGGCTCCAATAACAGTGGGGACCTATATTTTGCCATATTTAAATTAAGGTGGCTATGGCATTTCTAGCAGCAG